TGCACACAAAACTTGTGTATCCCTATGCTGGTAAAACACGTCCCTGCACAGGGCATGAATCAAATAGTAGCCCTGTATGAATGAGGCCTAAGACATAGAGATGATGAATCATGATCACAAACAAACAAAAAATTTCCCAGCACACTTACCAGCTGGCCTACAAAAAAAAATTGACCCTGTCTAGAAAAGTACGTTAGTCACACACATTTGCAAATACATGTAGAAGCTGCAGTGCCTACATCAAGGCTTCTCTATATTCTGCAGTCCTAACTCTATATTTTGATGAGTGATCAGGGGCGGACTGACCATATGGAAACTTGGGCACTGCCCGAGGGCCCGGGGTCAGTAGGTTGCCCCATGAGATGCCCCTGGTACCTTTTTCATAGGCTTTTGTGAGTTTGGGCAAGGACACAGGGGCCCCATGATCCCCTATTGCCTGGGGGCCCCATGAGTTGTCAGTCCACCCCTGGTCATGATCTCTATGACTAAGGACCAGTTCACACTACACAAATGCACTCTGGAAGCATTTTTTTGCGTACTGTTCGCACCACAACCAATTCTGGTGCAGTTTTGATGCAGTTTGCCATGTTCCAGTATGGTTCTGTGCAGAAAAAAATGCAGCACGCTCTACTTTTTTTTCTGCACCAGAAACTGACTGGAACTGACTGCACTAGTGCGAACCATGGCCATTGGAATACATTGAAAACACTGTGCATACATTTTTGATGCAGAAAAAAAGCTCACTGAATGACATCTAGTGTGAACTAGCCCTAAGACTATGAGCCAAGTAGGGGTGTATTTACCACAAGGCAAACAAGGCACTTGCCTAGGGTGGCATTTTTCAGGGGGGCAGCACCTCCCCCAAGAAGAAGGAATGGAAGAAAGGACGCTCATCATGGGAACCAGGTGGGATCCGAGAGAGGCTGCGGGCTGCTTGATGGTGTATGTAGAGCCTGACTCTCATTCCCGGGGATGTCTGGAGCTGTGAAGATGAGTGTGTCTCTATTGCTGGTGGGGGTTAGTGGAAGGATCTCCCAGGTGGGGGGCAGGGGTGTTGTTGGTCAATGTCAGGCTCTTTCCGTGGGAGGGCGAAGGGGGGTGGTGTTGGTTGGTGTCCATAGGGGCAGACGATCTTTGTGTTGCCTAGGGCGCCCAATCCGGTTTGCAGTGTGGAAGCTTACAGCAGTGACTCTTGCATGACTTACTGACTCTAAGGGGTAGATTTGCCAAAACTGGTGCACTTGGAATCTGATGCAGATATGCATAGTAGCCAATCAGCTTGTAACTTCAGTTAAGCTTTTTGCAATAAAACCTGGAAGCTGATTGGTTTCTTTGCAGAGCTGCACCATATTTTGCACTCTCCAGTTTTGGTAAAAAAAAACTCCATGTGAATTCTTACTTGAAACTTGATGTCCATAGTGTAGTGTTTCAAGGTCTTCCAGTTATCCAGCATGAAACAGTTTCTTCACTGTACCACTGCGCAGGAGTTCCCTGTACCCATATGGAAGATAAATATATTTGAAATATATTTTACAAATATTCTTCCCAAATATATTTACATATATTCGAAATGCTGAAATTTTGGCCATATTCAATATACAGTATATATATATATATATATATATATATATATATATAAAAAAAAAAAATATATATATATATAATATATATATATATATATGTAAAATATACATACACACACACACACACATGCTGAAATGCATTTTTATTACAAAATACATTTAAAAAAATATGAAAAATATTTTTAAAAATACATTTCAAATATACTGTATGTCTTTAAAAATACAAATCTACATTTTTGGAATGCATTTGCAAATATATGTACAAATATATGTTAAAATGACTTTTTTATATGTTAAAAAAAATCTGAACAATATATAAAAATATATATATTTTTAAAAATATATATTTTTTTAATATATTCTTTAGATTCTTTCAGACATTTTTCAGGGTACTTTTCAGACAAAAATTTAATTTGTATTCCAGGTATAGTATTTTATGCATAGTTACATTGGTCCAGCTTGGATTGGCATGTACAATACTTGGCCGTTGCCCCTGGAAGTTACTCCAGTGATCTCCACTTGCTTCCATCTCTTGTGCCAAGCAAGTGCCCTGCTGCATTCTGAACATAGAAGGTCGGCCACTCGACACTAGCACCATTCAGGGAATGCTTTATGTTGTGTATACTGTACATGGTATATGGCATCTACTGTACATAGTTAAATTAGCCAAAGCTGGAAAAATTTAACTATGTATAAAATATCCATACCTGGAATTCCTCTTTACTTTTTCTAGATGGTCTTTATATCATATAAAATCTTCACTTTTAAAGTTCAGGTCCACTTAAAATCCAGAAGATTCATAAAAATGGATAAAATTGTATAAAACAGTGACTGGACATACCAGACAGTCTAAGGAGATTGTGAGCAGTATAATTTTACATTTGGTTCTAAAGTCACAATTTTAATAGATTTTGGATAACCATACTATATTTCATGATTATCTTTAGATTGTAAAATGATTTTCATGCTGTTTTTAGCAATATCTTATGAAAATATATTACAAATCTTTATATAAAAAGGTGAATAGTTAGTTAGTAACATAAAAAATCTATTGAGATTTGCCTGCCTCCTCTCTAATGGTATAAAACAGAGCAGATAAATAATTGAGGTCCGATCTACTGTACATACCCGAGCTAACTTACTAACTTCTGGCCAAGTGATTTATAAGGTGATTTTACTTCAAAAGGATGTAGCAAAATCAAATCGTCACAATCCTTTATTTCTGAACTAGTAAATATAAACTACAGGCCCCTGTGTCCTTGCCCAAACTCAAAAAAGCCTATGAAAAAGGTACCAGGGGCATCTCATGGGGCCCCCTACTGACCCCCCCTCGGGCCCTCGGGCAGTGCCCGAGTTTCCAAATGGTCAGTCCTCCCCTGCTACAGACCCATTCAGAATTCAGTTTATAGATGTTAATTTACTATAGTAGGATATGTGCGCTTAAAGTTGAAGTTTTATCTGCTTTATTTTTCTTTCCATGGTTCCCTCCCCCCACCCACCCCATCCTCAACATGCTAATTACATTTTTAAATACACCCTTCCTGTTTTTATTACATACCTTATTTTAGACCTAGAGATGACATTACTAGGTCTCTGTGTTTCTCTTTGCAGTGCAGGCAGATCTTGGCTGGTGGGAAGAGCTTTAAAGTGTTACTAAACCCACAACAGTAAAATATGTCTGTATATGCAGTAAATCATTCTTGTCATACTCACTGTGGAACCTAAGAAATTAATCATATGCATTGTGTAAAAACACTGTTTGACCCTGTCTTCTCTGATCTTCCCCTTCTTTCCAGTGTCCCCTCTTATCTCCTGATAAGAGATACCGTGTGGAGTCACTCTGCGCATGCTCAGTTTGGTTTGTATTTCTAGAGAGATTTTTTTTTTGCTTGGGAGGGTGCATGTGATTAGCACAAGGCCAATGAGCACTGTCCAGACAGAGGCCAGGGGTCCTGCATCCTCCTAGAGCAGAATGAAACCTCCTACAAGCTTTAACTAGTGCTCTGCTGAACACTGATAGAAGTCACAAGACTGATCTAACTGCTGATGAGAAAAGGTATTTAGCAGTTTATATTTAATTTAAAATAATTGCATTTCCATGTCCTGTGTACTGTGGGAGACCAGATATAGTGAATGCAGGGTCCTGGGAGACCAGATATAGAGAATGTAGGGTCTGGGGAGACCGGATATAGTGAATGCAGGGTCTGGGGGAGACCGGATATAGTGAATGCAGGGTCCGGGGAGACCGGATATAGTGAATACAGGGTCCGGGGAGACCAGATATAGTGAATGCAGGGTCCGGGGAGACCAGATATAGTGAATGCAGGGTCCTGGGAGACTGGATATAGTGAATGCAGGGCCTGGGGAGACCGGATATAGTGAATGCAAGGGTCCGGGGAGACCAGATATAGTGAATGCAGGGTCTGGGGAGAGCGGATATAGTGAATGCTGGGTCCGGGGAGACCGGATATAGTGAATGCAGGATCCGGGGAGACTGGATATAGTGAATGCAGGGTCCGGGGAGACCAGATATAGTGAACGCAGAGTCTTGGGAGAGTAGATATAGTGAATGCATTGTCTGGGGAGAGCAGATATAGTGAATGCAGGGTCCTGGGAGACCGGATATACTGAATGCAGGGTCTGGGGAGACCAGATATAGTGAATGCAGGGTCTTGGGAGACAAGACATAGTGAATGCAAGGTCCGGGGAGACCAGATATAGTGAATACAGGGTCCTGGGAGACCGGATATAGGAATGCAGGGTCTGGGGAGACCAGATATAGTGAATGCAGGGTCCGGGGAGACCAGATATAGTGAATGCAGGGTCCGGGGTAGACCAGATATAGTGAATGCACGGTCCAGGGAGACCAGATATAGTGAATGCAGGGTCTTGGGAGACCAGATATAGTGAATGCAGGGTCTTGGGGAGAGCGGATATAGTGAATACTGGGTCCGGGGAGACCGGATATAGTGAGTGCAGGGTCCGAGGAGACCAGATATAGTGAATGCAGGGTCTTGGGAGACCAGATATAGTGAATGCAGGGTCCTGGGAGACCGGATATAGTGAATGCAGGGTCTGGGGAGAGCGGATATAGTGAGTGCAGGGTCCGAGGAGACCAGATATAGTGAATGCAGGGTCTTGGGAGACCAGATATAGTGAATGCAGGGTCTTGGGAGACCAGATATAGTGAATGCAGGGTCTGGGGAGACCAGGATATAGTGATTGCAGGGTCCTGGGAGACCGGATATAGTGAATGCAGGGTCTGGGGAGACCAGATATAGTGAATGCAGGGTCCAGGGAGACCGGATATAGTGAGTGCAGGGTCCGAGGAGACCAGATATAGTGAATGCAGGGTCCGAGGAGACCAGATATAGTGAATGCAGTTTTCTGGGAGACCGGATATAGTGAATGCAGGGTCTGGGGAGAGCGGATATAGTGAATACTGGGTCCGGGGAGACCAGATATAGTGAATGCAGGGTCCGAGGAGACCAGATATAGTGAATGCAGGGTCTTGGGAGACCAGATATAGTGAATGCAGGGTCTGGGGAGACCAGATATAGTGAATGCAGGGTCCTGGGAGACCGGATATAGTGAATGCAGGGTCTGGGGAGACCATATATATAGTGAATGCAGGGTCCGGGGAGACCGATATAGTGAATGCAGGGTCTGAGGAGACCGGATATAGTGAATGCAGGGTCCGGGGAGACCAGATATAGTGAATGCAGGGTCTGGGGAGAGCGGATATAGTGAATACTGGGTCCGGGGGGGGCCGGATGGGATATAGTGAATGCAGGGTCTGGGGAGACCAGATATAGTGAATGCAGGGTCCTGGGGACCAGATATAGTGAATGCAGGGTCCTGGGTTTAGTAACACTTTAAATAGGTCTCCAAAAACATCATAACACCCTGCTTTGGCACTTCTTTCAAAAGCCCTCAGCCCTGATGGAAATAGCGGGCTGATTTCTGAAAGGAGATTCTAGACATATAGCATTTGCCTGCATACTACCCTAAGTAAGGTCCAGTTGTGATGCTGAGTCTCAGTGATGGAAAGAACTGAGATCCAATAAATGAAAGAGCTAGATGATGATACGTGTCTTCCATCAAAGATACGGACTCTTTCTGACTTGCTGTAGTTTCTAATGCACCCTGTGAGAATTATAAGGAATTCCTATAATGCGTGGCTCTGTCCAGTGGCCAAATGTGGTATTTTCTGTTTAATTAAAGTGATTTACATCTGAACAGCACAGGAGATAACTTTTTTTTTTTTGCTCCATTCTCACATGACAAATGTACATTCACTTTCCCTTGGAAAATATTCATGCAAAGTTTGTATGTAGTGCCCTCCTCTAGTTAGAATGCTAGGTTACATGTGGCTTTTGGCTCTACTGTAGTGATTGGAGGAGTGATTGATTGTTTTTGGCCTTTTCAGGGTTCCCTGAGCTGAGAGTTTGATTCCCCCCACCTGTCTCTGGAAGGTAAGTTTTCAGAGTATAGGGCAGGGAGATTCAAATGATCAACTGAATATTTAACCATTTGCCCTCCAGGGGATTTACCCTCCTCCCCGACCAGGCCATTTTTTGTGATACTGCTCTGCATTACTTTAACCACTTGCCTACCGGGCACTTGTACCCCCTTCCTGCCCAGGCCAATTTCCAGCTTTCAGTGCTGTTGCACTTTGAATGACAATTGCGCGTTCATGCAACTCTGTACCTATATGAAATTTTTTATCATTTTTTTTGTGACAGATAGAGCTTTATTTTGGTGGTATTTAATCACCTCTGAGATTTTTATTTTTTCTTAAACAAACCAAAAACTGAAAATTAAAAAAAAAAAATGTTTTTTCTTAGTTTGTGTTATAAAATTTTGTAAATAAGTGATTTTTCTCCTTCACTGATGTGCGCTAATGAGGCTGCAGTGATGGGCACTGATAGGCTGCACTGATGGACACTAATAGGTGGCACTGATGGGCATTGACTCACTGATGGGCACTGAAAGGCAGCACTTATTTTTGGCATATATGCGCACTGATAGGCAGCACTGATCTGGTACTGTTAGGCGGCACTGATGCACACTGGTAGGCGGCACTGACTGGCACTGATAGGTGGCACTGATTGGCAGCACTGAAAGGTGGCACTGACTGGAATTGATAGGTGGCAATGACTGGCACTAATGAGTGACACTGAAAGGCAGCTCAGATGGGCACTGATATGTGGCATTAATGTGGGTAGGCACTGAAATGTGGCATTGATATGGCACTGATGGGCACTGGCAGGTGGCATGGATGAGCACTGACAGCTGGCACTGATGGACACTGACAGGTGGCACTGCTGGGGCTGCACAGATCATCAGTGCCCTGATGATCAGTGTACATGTCCCCTCTGAGGGATGCCGATTACCTGCTCTCCTCTCGAGCTGTCAACGTGACAGCTCGTGGGGAGAGAAATGCTGATAACCTATTTACATGCGATCAGCTGTGATTGGACACAGCTGATCAGATGACCGAGCCGACATCTTCGGCTCTTTCTATTGATCTGAGGGACACAGCGCACCGCCGATCGCCGTGCTGCGCGCTCCCGGAGCCACACATGCGCGGTAAGAATGGGAGGACGTCATATGACTTCAATGTGAATTCTTTAACAACCTCTTAAATTCGGAAAATACAATGAGTGTGCACATGATATAGCATCTCACAATAAAAAAGAAAGAAAATCGGACAATTTTTAGGACACATTTATTAGTCATCGTTATGCTAAGGGGAGTTTTTAGTGTAACTCTGTACACAATGGGTGTGCTATGGATTGTTATATTCCTGTATTTAGAGCCATTGCCAGTTTTCTATAGGAAAAAAAGGCTAATCCTGTGCTGTTCAAATGTAAATCACTAATTTCAAATGGAAAATACTGCATCTGGCCACTAGTGAATGGCTATGTGAATTCTTTAACAACCTCTTAAATTTGGAAAATACAATGAGTGTGCACATGATATAACATCTCACTATAAAAAGAAAAAAAAATCGGACAATTTTTAGGACACATTTATTAGTCATTGTTATGCTAAGGGTAGTTTTTAGTGTAACTCTGTACACAATGGGTGTGCTATGGATTGTTATATTCCTGTATTTACAGCCATAGCCAGTTTCATAGGAAAAAAAAGGCTAATCCTGTGCTGTTCAAAACAGGGGCGGACTGACAACTCATGGGGCCCCCGGGGCAATAGGGGATCATGGGGGCCCCCTGTATCCTTGCCCAAACTCAAAAAAGCCTATGAAAAAGGTACCAGGGGCATCTCATGGGGCCCCCTACTGACCCCGGGCCATCGGGCAGTGCCCGAGTTTCCAAATGGTCAGTCCGCCCCTGGTTCAAAAGTAAATCACTGATTTTAAATGGAAAATGCTGCATCTGGCCACTACTGGGAGCTAAGAATTATAGAACATTCCTATGATACTGGCATCAGAGACAAATGCTCTCTCCTGGTTCTCCTCGTACCTATCCCGACGCTCCTTCAGTGTCACCTACAATGGTGCCACCTCCCCCTCACTCCCCCTCTCTGTTGGGGTCCCCCAGGGCTCTGTCCTTGGACCCCTTCTCTAATCCATCTACACCTCCTCCCTTGGCAAACTCATACACCTCCCACGGCTTCAAAATACCATCTCTATGCTGATGACACTCAAATTTACCTCTCCACCCCTCACCTCACCTCCACTTTCTCCTCGCCCGCATCACTCAATCCTAAACGACATCTCTGACTGGATGTCGCTCCATTTCCTCAAACTCAACCTCTCCAAAACCGAGCTTCTCGTCTTCCCTCCTGCCCGCGCCCCTCCCCCCCATACATCCTATCCATCACTACTAACATCACCACCATCAATCCCGCCCCGCAAGCCAAAGTCCTTGGAGTCATTCTGGACTCTAACCTCTCCTTCCAACCTCATGTCAAATCACTCACAAACACATGCAGGCTCCACCTCCGCAATATCGCCAAAATACACTCCTTCCTTACCCCAGGACACCACTAAACTACTTGTGCACTCCCTGATTATCTCACGCCTTGACTACTGCAACTCCCTCCTCACCGGCCTACCCCAGTGCAGGCTCTCCCCGCTTCAGACCATCCTCAACTCAGCGGCTAGACTCATCCACCTCACCACCCGCTCCACCTCTGCCACCCCCCTCTGCCTCTCCCTCCACTGGCTCCCTATCGCCCAACGCATCAAATTCAAACTACTCACTCTGACCTACAAAGCCATTCACAACACTGCCCCTAACTACCTCACCAACCTGATTCCCAAGTACCACCCTACCCGTACCCTTCGCTCTTCACAGGACCTCCTTCTATCTTGCTCCCTGGTCTCCTCCTCACACGCACGTCTGCAAGACTTCTCCAGGTCCTCCCCCATCCTCTGGAACTCACTACCCCAACCCATCAGACTGTCACCTTCCCTCCTCACCTTCAGGCGCTCCCGGAAAACCCACCTCTTCAGGGAAGCCTACCCCCCCTCACCTAACTGCTGCTCTCCTTCATTCCTCCTACCACTCCATCCCCCACAGCCACTTCCTCCCTGGGGCACTACCCCCCTCCCTCCTAGATTGTAAGCTCGAAAGAGTAGGGCCCTATAACCCCTCGTGTGCTGTTTGTAGTTGCTGTAATGTTTCATGTATTGTCCCCCCCTCTATTGTACAGCGCTGAGCAAACCCTTTGGCGCTATATAAACTCAATGTAATGTAATGTAATAATGATACTCAGCTCCATCTAATGGACAAATGTGGTCTAGCATTTTCTATTTTAAATCCATGATTTAAAATTTTAGGACATGTACATGCACTTTTTTATTGGGCAAATAGTTATGGTAATTCTTTATAAATCAGCCCTTAAAATTTAGAAAATATAGTCAGTGTGCAAAAAGTACACATAAATGTAACAATTTTTAGTACACATTTATTAGTCATTTTTTATCCTAAGGGGAGTTTTTAGTGTAACTCTGTACACAATGGGTGTGCTATGGATTGTTATATTCCTGTATTTAGAGCCATAGCCAGTTTCATAGGAAAAAAAGGCTAATCCTGTGCTGTTCAAATGTAAATCACTAATTTCAAATGGAAAATACTGCATCTGGCCACTAGTGGGAGTAAAGAATTATAGAACATTCCTATGATACTCAGCTCCATCTAATGGACAAATGTGGTCTAGCATTTTCTATTTTAAATCCATGATTTTAAATTTTAGGACATGTACATGCACTTTTTTATTGGGCAAATAGTTATGGTAATTCTTTATAAATCAACCCTTAAAATTTGGAAAATATAGTCAGTGTGCAAAAAAGTACACATAAATGTAACAATTTTTAGGACACATTTATTAGTAATTTTTATCCTAAGGGGAGTTTTTAGTGTAACTCTGTACACAATGGGTGTGCTATGGATTGTTATATTCCTGTATTTAGAGCCATAGCCAGTTTCATAGGAAAAAAAGGCTAATCCTGTGCTGTTCAAATGTAAATCACTAATTTTAAATGGAAAATACTGCATCTGGCCACTAGTGAATGGCTATGTGAATTCTTTAACAACCTCTTAAATTTGGAAAATACAATGAGTGCGCACATGATATAACATCTCACAATAAAAAGAAAAAAAATTGGACAATTTTTAGGACACATTTATTAGTCATTTTTATGTTAAGGGGAGTTTTTCATGTAACTATACACAATGGGTACACTATGGATTGTCATTTTGCTGTATTTACAGCCATAGTCAGTTCCAAAGAAAAAAAAAAAAATTATCAGGGCAGACCTGCTACCTAGCCCTTAAAAACATTCCGTCTATTAAATCTCAGCATAACAAATAGGAAGTCAGTCATGAAGCTGACCCACTGAATTTCCAATAAGCAGCATAAACAATGCATTCGCCAAGCAGTGCTATTATTCCGCCTGGTGCATTGGGAGCCACAGCAAACCTAAACAGAACGGCAGAGTCATAGGCAACTTTAATGTAATCAGGGCATCAGCAGGTAATGTCTAGCAGGAAAAATGGTTATGCAGCACTGTATTAGCATATTCAATAGCTCGACATATGTGGAGCAGGACCTTTTTCCAACAGGGTACAATGAAGATTAAAAAATGTCTACAGATGTTCATAATTCATATTTATAAATGTGCGTCCTCTCAAGGTTGCCTTTGAGGGACCCCTTTTTTCCTTTTTTTTTTCTTTTTCGTAATCCATACCATGGGACTGGCTTGTAAGTAATACATTATTAGCCTTTTCGCCTTTTGAGTGCCTGCAAAAATTAGCAAAGCGGTCTTCATATACATCGGGTGCAATTAGCAATTAAACGCTATATCTTACCTATAGCTCTAAACGCATTTAGAAAAGCTTTTAGAGGTGGAATACTCTGGACTCTTATGAGCTTGTTGCCTTGGCAACACAGCCTTTTTTTTTTCTTAAGTGGCAAGGTAAATAAGTCCTTTTTTCATATAATCCTCACAATTGTCTTGACAATAATAATATTAATACCAAAACATAGTTCATTTGAAGTATACAGTAGTTCAATGCAATTTGTGGTTTAGGCTCCAGTTTAATAACTTTAAAAAGTGCAGATTATGACGTTTTTAATGTGGATTTTTTTTTTCTAATCAAAATGGTTTGTTGTGTTGGTGCCTTTGGCTTGGTTTGCACCAAAGGTGATATCTGCATGGGTTGTGTGTGTCTGTTCTCACTGTATTTTTGTGGATTTAAACAGGACGCTTCTCTCTCCTCCTACAGTCCAAAAGCATTTTGGTAGGTCTACCATGTCCAGTCCAAAAATGGGTCTACTGTGTGTTCATGTCGGGGACAGTTCAGGTTTTACATTTATAATCTGGGGACTAAAAGAAAACGTGTGGCCAGATTATGGGCATTCAAGTCTTTGCAAATTCAAGTGGCTAGTAATAATGTGTTAAAATCATAAAGCCAAACTCTAGGTGTACTTTTACTTTAAAATAGGTATTTTAAACAGAACTATAAAAAGTGAAAGAAAACTTAGACTTCAGCTTTAAAGCGAAGTTCCGCCCCCCCCCCCCCCCCAAAAAAAAAAAATCGAAAGTTAGCAGCTACAAATGCTGTAGCTGCTGAATTTTAATACTATGACATTTACCTGTCCAGGGATCCAGCAGTGTCCTCACCCCGAGCCGATTCTTCAATCAGCTGTCAGGTACTGGTGCCACCATCTTGACTAAGGGAAACTGGCAGTGAATCCTTGTGGCTTCACAGCCGGTTTACTATTGCGCATGCGTGAAGAGCACTGAACTTTGTGAATGGGCTGCA